TCAATCGTTGATGAAAGGAAAAGCACCTTTTTTCTTTAGTCTCCTCGTTCAACTTTGGGGAGTTTTTGCTATTAAAACCAACCGGCTTTACTTCACTTTGAGCTTCACATTCACAGAGAGGAATAACTAAATATCTCTTGATTAAAAGTTTTCCCCTCCCGTTTGGAGGAGAAGAAACTTTTAAGCCAGTGAGGACGGCAGAGGAAAGTAGGTCAGAGCCTGAAAGGAGAGTGGAGCCTGGACAGAGTTAATGAACACCTGATAAACCGATGATAAACCTGGAGGATTATACAGGCTATTCCACCATTCCAGGTCCAGTTCCAGCCGGGTCTCTGCACCCTGTGGGGAACCTCCATCCAGTTCTGTGTGCTCACCAGAGTGGGCTCATGAAGCTAACATGTTCCCCTCCACTGGGTCTGCTTCTCCTCCCAAACAAACCGGACAAAGTCAACTCAATAGAGAGAGTTTGGCTGGAAAACCCTTATTAGATTCCATTGGTGCCATTTTATATTCAGTAATTTATGCTCATATTTAGTCATTATTTTGGGATATACTTAGTATTTGCATATTATTGAATATTTATGATCGCATTATAACTACATGACTGCTTATGTTTATAATTTCCTTTTAGTTCAATCTGCATTAAGTTTAATGCTTAAAATAATTTAGAATGGATAGCCAATAGGCACTGAGGCTGAGCAATGGCGTTTTGGAGCACACGCATCTCTCAAATATAAAAACTGATGTGTGTTGGTCATACCTGAGATCTTCAGAAAAGAAGATAAAAACCTTAACACGTGTAGACTCGTTCATTCCGTCTGACCGAGTGGGTATTTGCATTCATCTCAAGAAAGAAAGGGTCAACATTTTAAGAACGGACATTTAGCCACTACAGATTCTTTATCAATCCAGTCCAAAAAAGACACTGTACCAATTCATCAATATGTTAGAGACCTTGTGGGGACCTGGAAGCTAATCATTATCCCATATTCTGGTGTTCTCCAATACTGTTCAATTTCTGGTAGGAGATCTACAACATTATGCTAAATGTATGTCAGACAGATATTCATTTGGAGTTTGTGTCGTTATATTTTGGTGTTTTACGTCACAAAATGCATCCTCTGATGACTAATACTTATTTAAGATAGTAATAAAAGCTCACAAGGAAGTGGCTAAAACTAGAAAGACCTACAGTGGACTAGTGGTTTTAATTTGTTTTAGAATATCTTTAAGATGGAGAGAATTACTTTTGTTTTAAGACCAAAAAGGGGATCTGTTTATGAAAAGATGGATCAGACATGTCTCTCCGATCCGTCCATCCTTTGTTTAGCTCTAGTATCCATTTCCCCGTCTTCTTCTTCCTTTTATTTTCTATAACTTTCATTTTCCAGGACCTTTCTGCCAGAGGGTTCTGGGTTGGAGTCCCGGGGGAACCAGGACCAGAGGGT